CTCGGTCCCCATTCGGTCAACCTAATAATGCCGGATTCACTAATAGACACAAAAAACTCATTTGCTTCCACTCCAACTCGAAGATTAAACTCCTTTGTACCGAACATTTCCGCATGCCGTTGAAATGGTGCATCCGACAGTAAAACGGGGGGCTGGAATGACCTGGGCAGATCACACAGGTTCTGCTGTCTACCAGTCGCCGGCGCGTGTGGCGCACACTACCAGAGCGCCCCCAGGAAACTGCGCCGCCTTCGCCGTGGTCGAAATGGCCTGTGTTGCCGTCCGGTCAGGCGCGTGGGCTCTGTAGATGGTCGGAGCATCGGATCTCGAGCTGCGGCGCTAGGGTTTGCACCTAAGGCCACCGCTTGCGTGTGTCCATGGGCGAGTTGACCATGATTTTTTGGCGTGAGGCCGATTTGTAGTGGTGGTCCGACCGGAATCTCTTGCCAGACGCTGGAGATTGGAAATGGAGATAATGGGGTGGTGGGTGGGCTGGTGGGTTTGGATGTTGAGGGAGAACTCTCTATTCGGGAGAGAGCGTTTTAGAGAGAGAAGGTTTTTTTTTGCTATTTGTTAGTTGACCACTTTATCCCTAGAAATGCATATATGAATTCATTATCCACCCACACTTATTGAAAATTATTCTCACTCTTTTATGTCTCTACTTTCAGATAATTGATGATTCGAGGCGGTCGGCACGGCGATGGCTTTTGGTGGCAAAAGTTTAAATAATAAAATTATTACGTTGTCAAACTATTGTTATTTTATTTGATTTTCAATATTTTAAAATATTTCTCATTTCAAGTTAATTTATTAAACTCACTACATTATTTGAATTTTGATAAGTGCTTTAATAATTTATATAATTGTATTGAACACTATTTAAATAAGTTTTAGTTTATGATTTAGCGGCACTCGGATCGTTAAGCGTTCGAGTCGTCACACTTTATCTCAACTTTTAGTAGATTACATTTTGACTAGTTACATAAACGCAAACGAATGATGTACGTGTGTAATTACGTGTTATCACACGCACATACACACAAAAAAAGGGATAAAGTGGGAAGATAGTTTAAATAATTGTACCTCAGTAAATATCCATTCACAGGGACCAGATTGCTTCAGGAGGTCAACATATTTGAATAACAGTGCCACGATATCCTCAAAATGCTCTGTAAAGTTTCTCAATAAACAAATAAAGGAGAAAGTGAAAATTTTGACAAACTTTCACATTGAGTTCAAGAAGAAAGGCAATACAGGATTTACATGTTTTCCCATCCTTCCAATTCCTGCACCCCACCCCTCAAATCCCAAGAAACACACACGAAAAGGAAAAAAGGATAAAGAAAGGAAGGTAACCACTCATAGTTCTACTCTGCCTCTATCCCCGCACCCTCCCCCCCAACCAAAACCAACAACAGTGCAAGACTGAAATGACACATACCTTGACCAGCATCAGTCAGATCAATTACAACTTTAAAGAAAGAAAAGTCGGAAGTCCAATCTGATTCACCAGCAGATAAACTTGTTGCCCAACCTGAAAAGTTCACAAATTTTGCAAAATAAATATTCAAAAGAAACCATTGCAACAAGTAGAACTAGATTTTCCAAAGGACCATGAGAAGAAAGAAAGAAGTCACAAGCACTAGAAAGAAAGTGTAAGTACCATACATACATAAGTTAGATAATTCAGAAATAGGCTTCAGCTTAAATTAACTAAATGTATCCTGTTAGTAATTTCCTTGAACCAATATCAGCTTAAATTGAAAACGTATACAATTGGTAATTTTCATTGGACAAATATTAGGAAGTGAAGAAGTGCGGCAAATCTATAGAAAAATGTCAGCATTGAACATACTTGTTTTGTTTTGATTGGTAAATTTTCATAGATGCTAGTAACTAGGGATAACACCTATTGCCGAAACTCTGCAAAGAGAGAAAGCTATCTTGTTGTCGTTCTAAAAAGTTCAAAAATAAGAAGCCAAGGAAAAAGCAACAGGTAGTCTCCACCTAAATTACCCGGGAAACTCCACCAAAGATAAATCGGGGCAGCTACCTCTAACATGAACACCAGCTAAGTAATAATCCCTATAGTCCTTTAACAGAATATGGCATAACTCACTATAAACTGCACATTTCTAAAAGAAAAAAACATAGTTGTCTCTGAAAACTTGTGAGCAAACAGTGGCACAAATTTTATGTAATTCCATATGCACCAAAAATTAATATCAAAGGCAATGACATAATTTTACAACTTTCTAGTAGAAACTTGGAGAAAAATTCTAAGGTCATGTCACAATCAATACCAATGCATCCAAACGATTTCGAGATAATATACAAGGCAAAAGGCAGGCAACAATCTATAGACAGGGTATAAAAATGTAGATTCATGGTGCTGCTTGCTACAACTCTGTAGTTTTGACTTTCACATATCTAGATTCCAGAACACAACACGCCACATGAGTTTCCATGGTATCTTTGATTTCCTGTGACCAAGTAAAATATCATATAATGCTAGATTGGTCCAAATCAGCGTTTCTCCAAAAGGATTGACCTTTTTCAGAAATGAAGCCCATAATTTTTGCATTAGCTAACAAAATACTAAGCTAAAGGCCTAAATGTGCTATTAAGTTTCTCCAATAATAGAAGGAAGTTGTCCATATATCTCCAGTTTGCAAATAAATTATGTTATTATAGCATCACATTTAGCAGACATTAACAAGGTTTTTTTCTTTTCTTTTTGCCATCTAAAAGAGTTGGGTATCAAGGGAAAGGAGTCCTGAACACAAAGGAAGTCTAAAACCCACCTAACTTCTTTAAGACATAAAACAGAGATCCTTCTCCTTCATGGCCAATTAAATGACNATCCTTCTCCTTCATGGCCAATTAAATGACCCAGATACCTGCTTGCCCCTTCCTTGTAATGCCGAATGCCTGGAGTTATCGGCCATGAAAATCTCAACTTGTGACCTTGTTTTATTGGGACGGTTTTGACAAGAATCTGGTCACAATAACACAAATTGGGAATATATAGTTAAAATCAAGAAACCTTACACAAGATTACAGCATGCAATTTCAACTTGTATCTTGAAATTAAATACAAATCAGAAAATGTGTATCAACACAAGCTCCAGTCATTTATATTCTTCCACAATAAAAAGAAGGGAAAATGCCCATAATTTTAACATTAACAACGTTGTGAGGGATGAAAATAACAATTAGCATTCTTTCACTACTGTTCCCACTTCACCATTACCTAATAAAGGGTTAAAAATACTATAAGCTCAGCCGAACATCATACTCACCTTTAGAATCAGACAAATATAGGACTCCTTCCAAGGCACAACTACTTAAACTAAGAATTTTATAATCTTATAGAGCAATTCAACAGGAATCTCTAATGTGGCATAATAAGAAAAGTGTTATTAAACCGAGTCATAAAACCTGATTCTAGTGAACTTTGCATAAAAAAAACATGTGGCTCATTATCAATATTACTGGCATTCCACGGGATGTATGACAGCTCAATATTGGCTTCCTTGAAAGATTTTTTCTCCTAACTGATTATACTAAACAATATGCTGCATAAACAGCTTGTTATAAAGCCAGTAAACTAACGGCAATAAACATCAAACAAAATGGCAACAACAGCGGCAAGAGTGCAAATAAAACTTTTAAGACAAGTTTTTTCTATTGTTTTCCCCAAATTCACAAGATTTCTTTCAAAAATAACATTTCTTCATTAAAATTGTTCCTTTGAAATTATAAATATCTAAAGCAGATAAAATCCAATAAAACTCAAAAACGAAAAATAATAATATTAATAATCTCGCTTTTGTTTGTCCGGAAAGTTGCTGGAAGCACTGGCCCCATGCAGGGTTCACTCACCCTCTTGCTATATTGCTTATGTCAAAAGACCTTAAAGAATACGATCACGTTAAATTGATGCAATACCTGAAGATGTTCCGGAGTGCAAGGCTGACCAATAAAACTGGCACAACTTCGATTAGCGTTGCGGATTTCCTGGAAGTTTTTCTGCACCAGGCTTTGAGATATATCAAGGCTATCTGAATTCATCCAAATTAGATGTTTAGTCAATTGGTAATCCAGCTCTGCCTAAACTAATTAAAGGCCGAAGTTTCCATTACCTTTAGCATAAACAACCAGATGCATAAGGTTGGCTGAATAATTATTGTCATAGAATTGTAGAAGCTCTTCCCTAGTATCCAAGCCTCTTGCTTTTGGCCGTACCTCCAAAGTATCCCAGTTCCCTATGTATAAAAAATGATGGAGACGAAATAAATAAGAACAAATTGTTCTGAATTTTGGCAGTAAATTAACTCCAATTTGGTCAAAATTGTAAAATACCTAACAAAAAAGATCAAGACTGTAAAGAGTGTTAAGGATTCCTCCTTTCAGTATGGAAATTAAAATACCACCATAAAGCATAATTACTTCGTTTTCTTTCTTTCTTTCTTTCTTTTTGGGAGATATAGTCAGCTGTTAATCTTAAAGGAGTAGAACATCCCCCCACCCACCCCAAATCCACAATGCAGACTTCTTGGCCCATGAATGCTCAATACTAGTCTTAAGAGGGCATTTTCAAGTGACATTATGTGAAGAGTGAAGAAAATTCAGCCAAATTGTACCATTGCCATGCTATGGAGACAATGAAGATAAATACTTTTGACGGACTGCCAGCTAAATAATTAGAAGAGAAATGACATAAAATGCTTATGTTCCAGGACACAGAGAAAGTAAACCCATTACTATAGTCTACATTATTGAACTATGCAGCGGAAGATAACAAGCATAACCTCAACCATAAAGACCAGAATAAATAAATAAATAAATAAAGGGTGGAATAGTGAGAAATGGGAGGAAAAATAATTTCTCAAAAGAGAACAAATGCATAAAGTACAAAGAACATCTTTTGAGAACTAAAAATATTTTACCAACTTGTCAAAAGAGCGGGATGAGAAGGGCTTAAACCTAAGAAAGCGCTATTCTATTGATGGCCCAGTGGCATTAACAGCAGAGTGGAACATAAAGGTTGGAGAAAGATCCATGACCCACACTATCAATCTCTCCTCATAAGGTGATTCTGAAGTCCACAAAATTTTCTTTGTTAATCACACACGAGACAATATTAATTTAAAACAATTAAAAATAATAATTGTCTTTTTTTTTTTTTTAAATGCAAAACATCAACACAACCTTAGTGGATTTTCAGACGCCGTCAGGGAACGCTGATGGGGGTTTGGATACCCCAACCGTAAATATAAAAAAAAAATCTTGAGGGCATAGGCAAGGAGGGCATAAACGTGACCTTCCAATAGCAAAAAGATGCAACATATGTAGTGATGAAATAAAAGGGGACGTACTACTTCCGATACAATGCAAGCAAATGAAAATAATAATAATAATAATAATAATAATAATAATAATAATAATAATTGTCTTGAAGCTAGCAAAATAGATAAAATCTCTAGGCTTTGTGAGATCCCTCATGTATAATTAAAGAGTTAAATAAACAGAAAAAGGTACCAGATATTTGCGGCTGGCACAGGTTACTAAAGTACATAGTACGCAAAATTGTGAAAATCTGGACAAGATTTTCTATCTAAGAAGGCTTACTAAAGTACATAGTACACAAAATTGCGAAAATCTGGACAAGATATTAAATCTACAAAGGCCTCATCAATCGGGCAATTGGAAGGAAAATGTCGGCCACCTAGTAAACAGTAAGAAACCCTAGTGAAATTGGATCACTGTGGGGTACAATTGCAGAAAGAACATGGAACAAATGAGTAGGATAAGATATTATATCTATAAAGGCCTCATCAATCAGGCAATTGGAAGAAAAAATATCAACCTACAAGTGAACAGTAAAAAACCCTAGTGAAATTAAATCACTGTGGGGTGCAATTGCAGAAAGAACATGAAACAAATGAGCAGATGATTTAAACAAGAAGAGCATCGGTCTTTTACAAAATATTGAGCTTTCATTTTTTACATAACATGAAACAAATGAGTAGATGATTTAAACGAGAAGAGCATCGGTCTTTTACAAAATATTGAGCTTTTATTTTTTACATACGTAATGATTTTATATATTTGGTAAGATAATTTACCATTAAATCAATCTAAAACAGCAGCATAGCATGACGCAGCTCAGCATTGCAATGCAAAATAATATTAAAATAAATAATGATCGTAAGGTGAACCTGTGCTGAACTTATGGTATGGATGATCTTTTGCACTTAGGTGTTTCTGAAGCTGTACATGTACATAATTTCAAAAATCAGTCAGTTCTTTACAAAAAATCATTGATTATAAATATGTAACAAGTCCTCAAAATAATAAAATACACCAATTTCATATGGAAAGAGCAGAAAAGGTGATAATCGTAGCAATGTTTTACTCGTTGAGTTTCCACTCTATGACATTTTCTTTAAGTTTCTAAAAATAGTTTGAGAAAGATCAAACTGGTTAATTACACTTATACTTCCTATAGTCTACCCTACGTAGAACTATAGTTTTAAATTTAATACACAGTTTGTGAGGTATGGGTGCATCATATGTATAGTTAAGCTAAAAAACATAATTAATAATTTTGCCTAATAGTCTCATGGGAATTCTCATTTTACAAGAACAACTAAAAAGAAGAATTACTAGAAAAAAAATTCATTGCCTCCTTCCTCCATCAGTACCAACAATTTCCTAATGAGCCCACCTAATATAAATTGATGACTGATCCAGAGGAGGATCATCACTTCAGATTCAAAGTCTTCCTAAACCATGAAAGATGTCAAGCCTTCAAGCTATTGACCAAAGCCACTAAGGTCAAGAGCTAAATCATACACTAAAGGAGTAAGTGATCTCCTCAAAAATCTCAAATAACATATATAACACTTTGAGATAAGGAGAAAAAATGTTCTCAGATATAATTATGCCTACAGCTTAAACCACATCATAACATGAATAATCAGAATATTTTAAAAAAAAAAAGTGATTACAAAAACACCATAAGAAATTCAAGATGATTTTGCTGATGACTTTCAGGAGAAGAAAACGAGGTTGACCTACAGATTTCATCACGGGACTATTAGAAATTAATGGAAGCCAGAGAAAGGTTGCCAGAGGCCACTCAAGGAATTAGTACCTGGTTCATTCTCCAACCATCAGACAAAAGATTCTTTTGATTTTCTGAAAGAGACCAGCAGGACATATGTCATAGAGAGAGAGAGAGAGTGAGAGAGCAGGGAGAGAGAGAGGGCAATCAAATATATATGGGAACCCAATGCACAATATGGAGAAAGGTAAAGTGCTAACCAGAGTCAACAGCTTTTATTTCCCTTGTGGTAGCATCAGCCGACATAAGTGGTTTGATAAAAAACTGTGCAAATCTGAACGACAAACACCATTAAGCCATCTCCAATCTCATGACACATTAACAGTAACTTATTCATGGAAAAAGTTCTACCTGTCCAAGGCTTCTTCAAAACTGTCAGGGTTGATATCAAAGAAGTAGTTGGTATGTTCAGATGATGTAAAGGCATTTGTACTACCTCCGTGCTAAAAGAAGAAACCAAATTTACTTAGAACATGAAATTATCTTTGAGCCAGCCATAAGGAAAATTCAACATACCATCACCAAATTGTAGAATATATTTAGGAAATATTACATCAAAAGTCCTCATTCAATACCTAATTGAGTGATTGCTTCTCCATTCAATATTATGTGCCAGACCTTCAATTTTGGATAAAAGCTAGAAGGCCCATTAAAATGTCACGTCTCACATTACCAGGAATATTTTATAAAATGACAATTACTCCCTCATTTCAGTTATACATAAAATTGAAAAATCAACTTCCTCATACCCCACCCCCCCCCCCACCGCCTCTCCTTTGAGCTCCATCATTGAATTCCCAGAATCAAATGCTTTTAAAGAGAAGGCATTTTTCTCATGTGCGAACATATGAACCCATTTTTGTGGAACGGGTATATAATATCATATGGAATCATTCATATATATAAAATTAAATAGTTTAGCTTGTATAAAGAAAAAAAAAACTAAAAATACACAATGCCAAGTATATATTTTGTTTGGATTCAAAATATATTTTCAGAATTCAATACAAAACTGACTTGCTCCAAAGCATGAAATTTCTGTCAGGAACCAAATTTTCTCTAGTCAAGTTGCCACAGCTCTATTTTTTACTTCCACATTTGCAAGTTAGAATCAACTATTCAAGTGTGTTATAACGGTGCAGTGTAACACATTCATCTTAATTTTTTTCGAGAAGAGCACATTTACAGCGTTTCAGGGGGTGCTGACGGGATGGGGGATGAGGAGTACTGATAAGTGAACCAACAATAGGATCAACAAAGATTTGACTGATACCAACTACCAAGTAACTACCTCGGTGATGTATTTCAAGTAACTATCCTCCAATGGATACTTCTCACTGGCGTAAAACAGCATATGCTCTGGAATACAAAAACATGTGGATAAAAGGATGACATGACAGTGAGAATAGAATCATTAGAACTATATAACAATCAAAAGATACGTAAATAAACCATATGACAAATAAACTACTAATCACGAAAACAGACAGAAAGTGGAAGAAAGAACAACATTAGCAAAAAACAACCCATATTCTACAGGCACAGATGAGGAAAGAAATTAGGGATGCAACAAACACTTCCACCAACAGGAAGGCCAAAAAAGCTTCTCACTCTGGAAAACTACAAAATGTTTCTCTATTTCATCCATTTTCCACACAAGCCATCCCTTTCATCTACCATGTTCCTATATATACATACAGGATTAAACGAGCATTTAAAACTTCCCAATAACACACACCTCCTTCAGTCTCGAGCACAATCCAACCACCTTACACTGTATATTATGTGATTGTACTCTTGAAAAGGTACCATAAAAACAATAGTTAACAAAAAGAAATATAAATTTCTGAAGGGACTGCGTTCCGCAATCTCTCAGTAACATATCCTAGCTAGTCATTTAGAACTACGCAAACACACACCACCACTCTTAATGTCAAAAGATAAAAAGTCAAAATCCGCGTCCACAAAATAGTCTAATAAGATTTCCACTTGATGCCCTTGATCACACCATAATGCAAAATATTATTGTTACAAAGGACGCCTTTCAGTAGATTGTAGACATACTTCAAAAGAAGTTTAAGTCAAATATGAATAAATTACATTCCCTTGCATTCTATAGCATAGTAAAACTACATTATAAAAGAATCAACTGTTGGACCAACATATTAATTACCTATAAATTGAATACCTCAAAAACTTGCACTAAATCATTCAAATTGTGGTAGTACGTATATAATTATTCATAATATCAAATATTAGGATATCCTAGTAAAAATTTGATATTTTTTACCAAGAAAATGAGCCAGTCCTTCAAGTCCTTCTGGGTCACTGAAAGAACCCACACGAACATCCATTGAAGCAGCGCACTGCACATAAAAAAGAAAGTGAAAATAAAATCACTCAAAAGTAAAAAAGTACGACACTACAATTTGGAAAAAAATAAGTGAAAAAGCTACTAACTTTATCGGTTTCGGGATCGCTAATGAGAAGAACTTGTAGATTATTCTGAAGAACAATTCTTCTGTACTCTCTTTTATCATTCCGTGGCTTGATTATCTCCACCTCCACCTCCACCTCCTCTGCTACGGTCCCCAATGCCATTTTTGCTCACCTTTACCACGAGATATATTGCTTATCGAATTCGTATACAAACGCACGTATACGTATACAGCGCTGATTTGTGTTAGATATAAAGAGATTGACTTGAAGGGGAAGAAAGACGGATGGGGTTGACAGGGACTTGGTTTGGAATGGCGTTGGAAATTCCTAGGACTTTGCCTGGTAAATAATAATGTTTGGTAAAATAGGGTAGACTCTTTGGTCAATAACCTTTAGTCTATTTTATCCCTCTTCCTTTAAAAGAGGGAATCTCACGTCCACTGTTCATTCACGACGTATTTATCCCTTCCCATCTTACCCTCAAACATCTGCGCTCGTTTTCACACTGTAATCATTTTCCAAGTAAATTGGCTTTTGTTCTCTCTCTTTTGGAGCTTTTGGACGAGCTCCTCTCTCGATCAAACCCCAAGAGGAAGAAGAAATGTGCAATCGTAACTCTCTTTCACGGAATTTTTGCAGATTTAATTGTGTTTTTTTCCCTAATCTATCTTTAGTTTGTTCTTGTTGATTTTTTGCCCATTTTGGCTGCAATATCTTCATCTTCCCATAAATGCATTTTGCTCTCTCTTCACACATCTTCGCTGCTTTTGGACCAAACGAAACCTCGTGAAGAAGAAGAAAGGTAAAATTTAAGAAGTAAGATCCAACCCACGTCGTTGGTTCGTAAAGCTTTGTAAATTTGTGCAAAGAAAACCCTTGTGTTTTACTCACCTCACCTCCTGCATTTTAAGGATTCTTTACAGGTAAATTCTGAGCTCAATCGAATCAATTAAGCTTCATTTCTTGTTTTCAAAAGTGTGTTTAATTTAACTTTTTTATTCTTCGAAATTCACTGTTGATTTATTTAATTTTGTTTTCCAGTTTGGGTCCTCGAATTCCTGTGAAATCCATAAGTCTCTCAAAACCCAACCCTTTTATTTTCTAAACTAATTGAATTTTCTGCGCTATTGTTAGTTTTAATTCATAAATAAAAATTCGGAATTTGTTAATTCTTTGGGTTTTAGATTGTTTTGTAAATAACAATTAACTTAAAAAGCGGTTGCGGGTGTTAAATTTTATGAAATATTTAAGGATGAAGGAGCAGGATTAATGACAAAATGAAGGCGTTGAAAAATCTAATTCCAAATTCCAACACAGTAGAAACCACAAATTGTTATATTTTCCATTTTAGTGTTTAGTTTTAATGGTGATTGAGGAGTCTCCGCAAACTCCGCACATCCCTAATTAATTTAGACGACGCACCATCAATCTCACTACCATACTGTAAATTTCTTGAATTTATGCAGACATTTTATAGCAAATTGAGTATTATACTTCAGTAAATAATTTATTTCTATTCTGTAATTCTTGACATTTAGAGATCAATCTCAAAAGGAGCCGATAACTATTCTGAAAAATGTGAGTTCAATTCAATTCAAGAAGCATATTGAATATTTTCACGTTCTTGTTTCTGGTCATATTTTAGCATAGTCGTTAATTGTCAAGCTTTAATTGGGTTTCTTCACAGATTCTGGGAAAGAATCGTTTGTTGATTGATTCGAAGCTTAGTGGATCGCTCTCACTCATTGTCCAAAGTGCACAACTGAAAGTAATTTCTTTCATTTTCAAATATCATTTTTGTTCGATTTTCCTTATATCTATTTTTGTTGCATTATCTGAAACAGTAACGTGAAATTGTAGCTTGGACAGTGTTTGCTAATTTCTGTATGATCTGTAGTACAAACATTAAAGGTGGGGATTCAAAACAGGGTAGTTAACCCTGAGGGGTTTCTCAATTGGTCAGACCTTGGGTTTGCTCCCCAATGGTCACCAGTTCGAGTCTCCTCAGGGCCACTGAGGTGAGTACCCAGCCGTAAACTTCAGGGCCCCGTGGAATTAGTCGAGGNTTTCAGGCCCCGTGGAATTAGTCGAGGTGCTCGCAAGTTGGCCCGGACATCCACGGTTATAAATAAAAAATAAAAAAATAGGGTAGTCCTCTTCTTGCTCTGGAAAATCAGAAAAACATAAATAGTTGTTCATTTGGGTTTAAAATTACTGAGTAGAAAATTACTTATTCTTTATGCAAAAATCTTGTAATTTGTTTTCTCGTGGACTTCTATGATTTTATTTAATTACTGATGCTGGGAAAAAAAATCTATTGGAGCAAACAATGCTTGAAGCTTTTCATAACTTACTTAGAACTGTTAGTCAATGTTGCTGTTTCTGATTTGGATACTATTGCTAAATCTAAAGGGATTATGTATATTATGATCAGGAACAGGGCTGAATTGTTACATCTCACAGCCGAGCCAGTTGAGACTGATTGCCCCAAAATACTGTACCTTGTTCGTGCTTAGCTCAACTTGACGAAATTCATTTGCTCATAAATTCACAATGATACACAAAAGGGCTTCAAGGGGAGTATTTTCTTTCCTTTGTTCCTCGACGTGCAGTTGCAAGTGCCTAGCATATCTATCCGCAGATAGGAAATAGAAGCTACCGAAACTTGCCTTTAGAATCTTCCAATTACAATGTATGCTACTTATCCCAAAGAATATAGTAGCATATTTAGTGAGTCCATATCTTTAATTGCATCAATTTACTCTAGGTTTGGCATTGGTACTTCCTCCCATGGATCAGATTTGTCAAAGCAATAAGATTTGAAAAGGAAACCTAGAACAGAGAGAATGTTTGCCTTTGTATATCTAACATTGTCAAAAGCAAGTGTCGAAGGAAACAATGAGGTGTTAAGTTAATATAAATGCATTATATATAGGAAGTAATGTGTATATTCTCATTCTAACTTATGGCCGCTTTTGTACTGATATTCTATGTGCATTTTCAGAAGACAACTATTGGCAGCAAAGCTGGTGGAGGAACCTCAATAACCGTTGCCTTTATTTAATGGTAAGATGTGTTTATAGGTATTTTTATATGCTTGGTTTCCATGCACTTTTATTTATTGAGCTGAGTTTCATTGTTGTCACCTGCTAATGTTGTTGTTGGTATGAGTGGATGTGGGTGTGTGGTATAGCATTTATTACGTGAACTGTTGCCGTAAAATAGCTTTTTGTGATTTCTTTATAAGAAGAAACATTTTGAATGTAGTATAGAGGTAAATCCATGTCTTTAATCAGTTTTCAAGTCGTGTAATTTGCCGGATTAATTGCATAATTGTTACTGGCATTTTGTTGTCTTTTCTTCTAGCCAATACCTTGGTTTTGGCAGAATCTTTGTTGAATCACCAGATAGCATATGGATGCTAATTGATTAAGAAGAAGTATGGTCATGTTTGTTTAGCTTTTCTTTCGTTCCTTTCTTTCTGGCCATGTGTGTGTGTATTGCTTTCTTTATTTTGTGACCTTCATATATTCATTCATTTCCTTCATGTAGGCATTTGATTCTCTTTTTACATCCTTCGACATGCATGGCATGAATGGTGGATTGTAATGGGATGTGATACAAAAAATACTAGATAGTACCACAACGGAGGATTGTGGCCAGGTAACCTTTTTAACCCTTTAGATCCTCTTAATGGAAATTTGATGAGATTAATTGATAGTGATGGTGTACTTTTCAGTGAACTAGCTTGCAGAATGTAACATGGTAAAACTATTGGGTTTCTTTTTAAGGAGAAAGATAAATAAGTGGAAACTTAACAATTGCAATTGTTTAATTTTAGATGAGCCGTTGAACTTACTGAATCGAGGTTGTGAAAAATGGCTGTCCAGAATTAAAGTTGATCCCCTGTCAGTTTTGCATTAATTTTTTTATTTTTTTTTGTGAGAATTTCTTTAGGAATCTCAAATTATATATATCTTTAGTAACTTTTTGTTACAATTATGTATAGATTCTTGTAGAATAGTTGAATTAGCCCAAAAATTCAAGAAATGAACAGCTTATTAAACTCAGATGAAAACTACGAAACGGGATATCAACCTTCACATTCTTCCTTGGATCAAATTGATCAATCACCAAAAGAAACACTCAGTTACTCAATCTTGAGTCGAGATTATTTTACTTATTGTAGAACAAATTTGGAAACATAAGCCCCAATGGGCAGCTAACCAATGAGGACTTGTATTACTATATTTATGAGTTCTTCCAAAATCGAAGCTTTCTTTGTGTATTCGCATTTCATGCACGCTTGGCTAACTTCTTTCGTAAGATCTTTTTCATTGACAGGTAATGAGATGCTTATTAATTCAACAGTTTTCAGCATCAGCTTTAAATAAGAAAGGTGGCCACTTCAAAAAAAAAGAAAAAGAAAAGGTGGCAAGATGCTGCTCATTCTACAGTACAGTTGTTATATTTTCTATTGAACATTTGCATACGTAGAGTATATATATGACTCGTTGAATTCTTACTTCATAGGAGCATTAACTTTGTCTTCAGTTGTCCAGTCATGTTCTTCTATTTATTTCTATACGTAGAATATATATATCTCGCTGAATTCTTACTTCATAGTAGCATTAACTTTGTCTTCAGTTGTCCAGTCATTTTCTTCTATTTAGTTATATTTAGTACGCATATATCTCCTGTCAATCTTCAACATTCGGCACACTAATATTACCTCAAAAATAACATAGCCCGTGCATTGCACGGGCAATAAACTAGTTATGCATTAAAAGTCTAAAAACATCTTTCATTTGAAATGTCTTAAATGTCCAATTTGAAACCAAAATTTACCAAATCCCCCATACATAAATCCCCGCTTTCATTCTTACTTTCTATACACAATTCAAAACCAACGGTAAAATGACATGACACCTTTTAGACGACTGAGTGTCATTTTAACTAATTTCATATTCGTATCATTTTATATTCCCTTGTATTGATATGAAAATTAATTAAAATAAAATTTAATTATATTTGGAGTGAAATTGAGAATCCGTGACCCAAAACGGCATGTTGTCGTTACAAACGATTTGATATTTTAATTAATTTGATGTTCGTTTCACTTTATATTATCTCGTACCCACATAAAAATGAGTGTAGACAAG